AACATATTTTTTAATAACTTTTTAAAGCATCAGACCTTTTTTATTAAGATTAAGTCAGAGAATATAAAAAAAATTGTTCCGGCAAAATAAAGTTTTTTGCCATTTGTTTAAAAAATCGTGATTTAAACAATACCCAACCGGGTTACCGGCTGACAATTCACATCATTGTATTCAGGAGAATCTTCCAAACAAAATTACGTAAAAAAATTTAATCCGAATAATTTTTCCCACTCACTCGCCTATATTTCCTGGACTATAGTATTTGAAAATCAAGGTGCGCCAATAGTCTGACAGATTGTGTACGTTTACTTACACACTCATACAGGCTTTCAGTAACTATTACGCCTAAATGTAAACAAACCAGTCAGTCACAGGGGTTTGTTTACATTTTAACCTTTATAAATTTGTAACTGTATAACGTAATTTTAATCTTATTATTATTGTTGTTTTAGTAGATTACTTTAAAATTAATATTAATGTTAGTATTTTGCACGAATGAGATACGAGGACACAACATTTTTCATTAGTATATCAAAGACTTTTATTTTATGGTGTTTTTGATGGTTAAAAAAAAAAAACGTAATTTGCATACTTGTACATTACTTTCACATCCTGTATCTCATTTGTACAGTGCCTGATAGTGTTAATAAAACAAGAAACCTTGCGACTTAAAATCCTCCACACCGTATCACGCGGAATCTGTTTACCGTGCAATAAAGTCAGATACTCAAAATAGGATTGTCTTCTATTAATAGCAAAATGATTTCGCCAGACCGTGCGAATTCTGTTTTTTCCTTTTCAGAATAAACTTATTTTTGTATTTTGTGGTAACATCCAATGAAACGGTTATTACAGAGTACAAACTACTATTAATCATCATTTGTGCAATACGCTTGCGATAAAGGAGAGCTGTAAGATGGTACGACCGGCAACCTGGCGAGTATTCTCAATCATTGGTGGTTCGTTAACCTGGGTACTTTTTGTGCATGTTTTTACACCCCCTACTGCTCGTCAAATTAAAACTTTTATTTCAGATGCGCAGAACGTGAAGAGAGACAGCATCCGGAACTAACCTGATACACTTACTCTCGGTTGCCACGTCGCCGTTGCATCGTCGAGGTACACTCAGCGATACAAGTTATTAAGTATAATGAATTCACGAAATAACAGAGTAATAAATCAAATCATGCTAGAACGTTACGGAGAGCGCAAGGCGAAGGGGTGTAAAAATCAGTAGCGGTTCGTCAAACGAATCATAAAAAACAATGAATTAAATATTATATACATATTTATAAAAACATGCTTTATGACCTGCCTAAGATATCGTCATTTTCGTTAATTATACCACTGTTCATAATTTTATGTGTTATCCCAGATTAAAAAAAAAAGCTCAATCCTATGAAAATTGTAAGAGATACGGTTGCAATGTTTTATTCACACTGCTAACTACGTTGCGTCGTCCGAGATTACTGATCACTTTAGATAGGTCTTTTAGCAATAACAAAAAAATTACTACTTTTTTAAAAGCAATACTACAAAATATAAAGATTTCTCTATCAAATGCTCCCAAATTCATTATTTAATAGTTAAAATCAATTAATCTGTGATGTTTAAAAGAAAAAATGTTAACTCGGTTCCTATTGGTTGTAGGAGATTCGTTTTGCTATTTTAATGTTTGTTTCGAAGTCACCCTTTCATATTCCTTGGTTCAAAATTCGTACGTTACGTAGGCGTCGCTCCAGCTCTAATTGTTTGTAATGAAAAATGGCCCCCTTATTTACAGCAATAAATAAGGGGATAAAAATGAATTTTTTGATATGCCCTTAACGGGATATGAAGAACTCCACCTTTATAAAGAGATTGAACCTACGTGCAACTGAAAATGTTTGTTCAAAAAAAAGTTACGGTAATAACTATTCATGTCTGTTGGGATAAACAATTAACCATATTTCACCAACAGATTGACCAATTTACGCCCACAAAAACTAGTTTGATTCCAAATTTAAAAACCTTCATTTCAATGTTATACAATCACTAAAAACGTCATTTTTGTAATAAACAAGAAATGACAATTTTTGATGATTTTTTGGGATTTGTACAATAACTAATTGACAAAATTGATCGTACCGAGGCTCAAACTGAAGGTTTTTAATTTCTCTACAATTTCTATTTGAAACTTTTCTTTCCAGAACATGAAACGAACCCCCGTTCGTTATTAGACTGTTAGGTACTCTTCACTTTTCCTGCAAATTACTTTTCGTGGTACATTTCCGGCAGAGGAACTTCCGATCTTTCATTAAAGTTGCAAAGTTCTTGTCAACCCGCAAAAAAAAAGCAAAAATGGCAGTCATTTTTAGGGGAAAGATAGAAACTTTTATTAGGATCGGCCACGTGTTTCCCTTAAGAATTACCGATTAACCGCGCCATCCAGAGGGACGGAAATTAGTTTCTCCATTAATTCAATTTTGCTCCACGCTTTTTCGTATATGTAAACATCCAATTAAAAGTTGAGATACAGCCTTGAAAGTTTAGTCAATGAAACAAATACGCCTTGGTGTTCTAATTTTATGATTTCGGATAAGTTTTACGAGGAGGTGATGCTCTATATCGTCTACGAAAAGCACCCGTCGAGGTTTTTCTTGAAACGCGAGCTTAACAAAGTATTTAATTTTTCGTTCTTCTTATTTTACTTATTTCAATGTTGATAGAAGTTGAACTAAGTTTTCCATAATTGATAAATGCGATTGTGGAGAAAGGGATAATTACGTAGATGAGAAACAATTTTTTTTTTCAATATTTTGTACTTATTCTTTTAAGTACCTTGTACTATTTTATTCGCTAAAAGGTCAATTTATGCATTCAAAGAAGGGTAAGTTCTCGTGAATTTTTTAAAATTCCTTAAGTATAAGATTAAATGAGTAAGACCAATACTTAACACACAAGACCAAGACAAAAACCAATACGAAGACTGGGCAGTCTTGGTCTTGGTCTCTATTAGTCATCATTGTTACAAACACGTTTAATAAAATATATTGCTAAGTTAGTAAACTATGTGTACAAAGTCGTGTGGGAATCATCATCATCATCATCATAAGGTCGTCAGTCTTAAGACTGGTTGGACACGTACCTCCACTCTTTCCTATCCTGAGCTAAACATCGCATTTCCCTAAAACTAGAACATCCCACATCCTTAACTATCTGCGAACAGTAATCTAACTTACTTCTACCTCTACCCCTTCTAACTCCTGTTTCTGCCTCTAATATGTCTCTGACCAGACCTTCATGCCTGAGAAGGTGTCCTACCAACCTATCTCGCCTATTTTTTATTGACTTCCATAGAGTCCTCTGTTCTCCTATTNCCCCCATACCCACCCCCTTCGGGGGTGGGGGCAATCATCTCGACCTTTACCTTTTAATTTTTTAGAAAATAAAATGTAATATTTACTTTTTTGTATTTTTATGAGGGTTAAATTTTATAATCTATCTAAAACAGTTGCTGCATGGGCTAGCGAAGAATTGGATGAAATAGTGAAATTAAAAAGCGCGTCCTTTTTTCCTTTTTTTTTTCTCCTGCATTAATTATTTCAGAACTTAAAAGTTATCTGCCTAAAAGCTTTAGAATTTTTAGTCCCGCTGTCGTACCAGTCACTGGTTTTAAAGGTCGTACAAAATTAAGTGATGCGAGAAACAAACGAACTTGTTTCAGAATCGAGGTCCTTCTTCCTTCCTTTAACCGCGGCAGGCTCTGGCATTTCACCGTTTCACGTATTTGCGTGCTGTCCGCTACTTGCTCTTCGTTCATTTCACTGCGCCAAGGCAACGTTGCCATTTTGAATTTAAAAGTTTTACAATTTTAATAAAACGTTCAAATATTCCCTAATGGTATTCCATCAATACATATCGAAGGACTAACAGACTTTCCCGTATATAATAAGTTTAGAATCAGGTTACCAAATTAAGATAAAGATAAACTGTTCATCCATGTTTCGGAACGAAATATCCTCTTCTGTATGCCGAAGGGTTTGTTATACTCGAAATTAATAAAAAAAACTGAATTTATAAAAGTCAGTGTGTATCTACATACAAAACCACAATGGGCAAATAGTAGCATCGTCAAATTTATATCGGAAAAAATGCAAGTAGTTCCACTCTTGCTGTTTTTTGGGATTAGAGGATCCACTACAGCTACTAAAAATCCTCACGAGTGCTATGACACTATCACTCAACTCTTTGAACTTGGTAGAAATGCGATTCTTATCAGGAATTCTGGATGGTGTAGCTCTATCTTTTTTCTGTTCTCCTTACTATAATGAGATTTAGTCGTAAGTGCAATTATCTCTGCAAAGCTTTTGGCACAAACCGTTTTGCAACTTTTGTCTGTAACTTTGCAACAGAACAAATTTCAATGTGGCTCATCTACTTTATAGTTTCAATTATGATTATTACGTCTGTCCATTGGAAATTTGAGATCTCGGTCTCCCACTAAAGTTTATGTGGACATATCTACATATAAACAGTATTTATTGTTTTCCATAAGTTTGCATCTACTTGAGCATCTGTTTTTGTTTAAAAAACCTTAGCGAAATGGCGCAAGCCAGCCGAAAATTGTACATGAATCGTAGGAACCTACATTGCAAGTCTCAAGAGCTACTGGTTAAAGTTAGCTGCCGCTAAAGAGTTTATTAAAGTATTTTGGCTTTTTTTGTTTTGATAACAGTCAGCAATAAAAAATAAATCCGATTTAGTGTAGTTGTTTCAGTAATGGCAACGTTGATACGTTGGTCGATATAAATAGCGACTGCGCTCGGTCGCGAATCTCGCGTGCTATTGGACAGGTTAGGACCAGATACTTTTGGATTTAGTTTATCGCTGTTGTACAGCTAGCGCACTCCGGTTTTGTCTTTAGTTCTTTCTCAATTGTCGTTACGTCACCATGTGCTACTGTTTGCTGATCATATAACGCAATACCACGCTACTTCTGATTTCTAGCAACAAACAAATCTTTTCGTCAAATCAACAGAACACGCAGGTACCAATTGCTTTCGCTTAAGAAGCACTGGCTTTTAGCTATGTTTTCATAGAATAGCATTAAAATTAGTTTTTCACTGTTTTACTTTCGCACACATTTTCAGCAGGATAATTACCTGTTTAAGGCTTGAATCAACAAATATGCAAACAAATTATTAGAAAACTATACGATTTAATTAGTCAAAGCATTGCGGTACATAAAAGTATTGAAATAAAGAAAAAAATTCGTTTTTTTTCGTATTCCTTTTCTAACTTTTGGAATGTTCTTATATGGAAGGAATCAAACATAAAATTATACAAATTAAAAATGATTAAAATTTAAAAGGTTAAATCTTCTCAAATATAGCAGTGCAGAATTTATAATAAAAAGATAATTATTATAAATCACAAATAAATTCTCAATAACATTTATGTAATTATAAGCAAATGCCAAATGGTGTATTTATAATTTTATAAAATAAGTAAATTCTACTATATCCGCATTATTTATTTTCTAGAAAATCACTGTAAAGAATATTTTTCATAAATTCATTTATCGCCTTTTTCAATTAAATACATGCAATTTGGAAAACAAATTGACTTTTGCGGCTGGTAGGTGAACTGATGCTGTCCTGATTCGGGCCTAAAGGCCGTTGTCGGTTGGAATCGCTTCCTAATATTTTGGAAGTACCCTTGAAGAAGCTCGTGTTAGCTGGGAAGCACCTCAAACCGACGACGGCCTTTCGATCCGAATCAAAACAGCATCATTTCAAGTTTGAAAGTTGCAAAGCTACAATATCATCATTTCTTCGTTTATTAATGGTAGATCTCCAATCGCAGTCTCTGTACGAGGTTATTTATGAATGAAAAATAAACTTTTCAACAAATATCTACTTAGAATTGTGTAATAAGGCAATGACTTCAAATGCGTAATAATGTTGTAATTATAATGTTAATTTTTAAGTTAACGCTTCAGCGGTCACCAACAACGTAAGTCTTTAGCTCAGTAAGTTAAAGCAAACATGATGATGTATTGTAAGAGTCAACTGTTTTCAACCTCGGTTTTTCTCACTTTCCTTTCTTCGTCTGATTTTTTTGTTGTTTGTATGTCTGTGTTCAATATTATATTAGCTTAGTTGTTTTTTGTTCCAAGGTAACTCAATTTAAGTGAGATTAAATTGCATTCATTCAATAGAAAATACAAAGTTAAATAATCCAATTAATTAAAACAAATTCTTTTACTTTTGTTGGCAAAAAATTACTGCTGTCAGTTTAAATTATAAATTTCGCATGTAAAATTGAATTTTTTGAATAAATATTTAAATTCACCGTCTGTAAAAAGAATCTCGTTATACCAATCGTAAAAAGAAATTGTGAAATAAATTTGCAAGAATGATTACAAGGTTGAAAAAGTTGCTGGTAAAAAGTCTATTTTAGAAACAAAAATAATTGGTACAAGGATGGCAATTGCGGCAACTCCTGTAATCAGTTTAAATGTAGGTAATAAAATTAGAAGTTGACGTTGTAATTATCGACGCTAATAACGTGCAAGAACAAGATGTAATAAAAACAAATGTAAAGTGAATCCCTTTTGAGAAAAGAGTTTACTTTAATTAAGTATGTCACTTTTGCGTATATATTTTTATATTTTTGCATAAAAGCCACCTGTTAGGCAGCTCTACCATTTTTGTTCGCCTATCAAACATTCTAAGCACTTTTGTGATGAGTAGAGAGTAGTAACATCGTTATTAGGGGCGTACTTAGGACACCAATTTTCTACTTGTGGAAGTAGAGGTGCACTTTCCAGTCGTTTACAAGTATGGTGTCATTGGACCTTACATTTGCGAACAACGTCCGTTTTTTATTTATAATTTGTCATCGTTGAATATTTACATGTAGCTATACTTTATATTACTGATCAGCTAATCTATATACTAACTCCGGTTGTCGTTCAGAGGCTTATTGATATTATGATCGAATTCTTCGGAACAGTCTTTATTCTTTTCTAGAATTTCGGAACTCCTATTGATAAGTAGGCAAATATGTGTCACTCGAGATATGATTTATTATCTTTCGCATCTTTAGTACGTTGCCGACCATCGGTGGGCCCATGTCTCGGGATATACTCAAGAGCCGTTAAGATGCATGCTTGTACGTAACAATTAGATACAATAAAGATCTATCTATACCATCGTAATATGTTAAACTCACGAAGTCATGCATTCGAGAAACCTTCGGACATTGAAGGAAAAGACATATCGACTATTGTACCCCGGTCTGCAATGATTAACAGTAATTTCTTGCTAATTGTTTGCAATTATAAATGACAAAATATAGATACATTTTTAAAGAAGTAGAGTCAGCAAATGTGATTATAATAACTAACATTATTAACTAAAATTTTATGAATTCAACAGTATAAACATATTAAAAGGTTCTGGTACAACTTAAACAGCGGATTTTCGAGAACACAACTCGTGCTTCTCTCTGATCGCAAATCAAGTACCCACATTAAAATATTCTGTATCGAACATAAGGGCATCTTTCTTTTTCCGAATTCATTCTCGTTTTTTCTTCTATGCTAATTGTATAATTCTGGCATACCACGTTATATTGGTCAAATACTACCTACGTTGAATGCGATTTTTTCTTTGTCACTACGCATTACCTATTTGCTGTTTTATGTGCAATAATAAGTATTAGCAAATAAACATTAATCCAAAGTGGGTTTTCTTTCGTGATAATAAAAGTGGAACAAGGATAGATTCGATTGTTTTTGGAATTCACCTTATTCGTAGCATTACAATGAACGTGTTTTTCTATTGTTTTGTTATTTATTACACCTACTGCTAATTATTCGTTAATTACTCTAAATAGAAATCGCACTATAAATTTTCCGAACAATCAAATTAAGTATGTACCTATCCTTAAAAGTTATTATTTTCCCGTTAACGTGTTTGTGTATTTAATACATACGTTATTTGCAACAAATAACAATGAGTACAATACTTCCCTTTCATTCTCAATAATCTCCAATGGAAATTAATTAACGATAAGTGGGTTTTCCGTTAACAAGGATCAAACTATTCCACGACTCCATTTTTAATACAAGAACGAAAGAATTGTAGCAACTGTCTTTCTGTTGAAAGGCTGCATACAATAATGATAATCAAACTGGAATTGTTATTGCTGATAATTAACTTGACCTTCACGAAAAGTCTACAGATAAATCGTTAATTGTAAACACAAAGAACGAATCGTTAGGCTCGATTCACACTTTAAAGCCTTTCGTATTCCGTTCTCGATCCAACATAACCTTTTTATATCTACGGTTGTTTTTAGTTTATGTAAATCGCTGGTGTTCCAAGTCGAGTTTTACAGTTCTTGTTAAAAAATGTCGATTTGTGGTTTTGAATTTATTTTTTTTTTATTATTCAAGATGCGAAAATGATTGAAATAAAGATTGAGAGCAAGTCCAGCACATTCATAGTCAGTGGTGAAGATGCCAATATAGTGATTTCCCCATAGATTTCTCAAGAAAATCCCGCCAAAAAAAGTGCTGATATTAAAATGAGAATTGCCTTATGGGTTTTTCATATGGGTTTTAAGGGGCAAACCTATCACATGTATAAACTTACAATTAAATCTATCTTATGGGGGCTCGATGAAGCAAATCCGTTTGAAAATACTCTCGGTAAAAT